ATGTACGAACATAATTTAATAAAAAATGTTTTTAAGTAGGGTAAATCAAAACCTAACAAACAAAATTTGTCGAAATATTTAACAATAATAATAATTGAAGGTCACAAAAATGAAAATAGTAAATAAAAAGTAGAATATAATATCATAATTTAATACAATAATAATGACAATAAATGAGAGTGGTTAAATCCAAAGTAATTTTAAAGACGCAACGTATACCTCAAATTTATTTTATAAGCAAAGTAATCAAGGTCGAGTTAAAAAAAATGTAGTTATCGAAAATCTCTCAGCATTTCTAACATATAAAATTCTCGTGTCAGGTGGTGTTTGAAATTGAACTCGTCCGAACCGGCTCGACCGATTTTCGTGAAATTTTGTGTGCATATCGGATGGAGAATCGGAGATCATCTATTTTTCATCCCCCTAAATGTTAAGGGTGGTCCACCCCAAACATTTCTTTCTACCCTTCAAATATTTTTTATGGCTACTCCAGTATAGTAAAAAAGTTGCTAACTCACTTGCTGATGCCAAAAGTGGATTACTGCCGAGGCATCGGCCGCTTGGTTTAGTAGACGTGACGTCTCTGGAAGCTAAAATCCTCGCGTCATTGCACTTCTGGCGCGAGGAGCTAAAAGCCCAAGGCCACACGCCAGCTACAGACGAGTTGGGAACACGCAGGAATGTCTTGCGCTCAAATGCCATTGTTGAGTGGGAACAAAGGCTAGAGCACCCCAGTGCCGGCCTAAGAACGGTGGAGGCCATACGTCCTGTCCTCAGTAGGTGGCTGGACAGGGAATATGGCGCCCTCACCTACCGCGCGACGCAGGTCCTCTCGGGACATGGTTGTTTCGGGAGGTACCTGTTTCGCGTGGCGAAGAGGGAGCCCACAGCGGAATGCCACCACTGTGACGTATGTGCCGAGGAGACGGCCCAACACGCGCTGGAAGAGTGCTCAGCCTGGACGGACCAGCGCCGAGAGTTGTGCACTATCGTGGGGCACGACCTCTCGCTGCCTGCCGTGGTTCGTGCTATGGTGGACAGCGAGAGGGCGTGGGGTGCTGTCCTTTTTGTGAGGACATAATCACCCAGAAGGAGGCCGCGGAGCGAGAAAGAGAGGCAACTGCCACCCTGGAAATCCGCCGCCGGAGACCAGGGCGCAGGAGGATGGCCTACGTGCCCAACCTTCCCCCCTGATAGTGAGCCCTGGGGCGGCAGATGTGGGATTAACTTCTGCCCCGTGGAGGGATCGAGAGGGTTGCCGTGTCCATTGCACCGATACGGCACCATTTGGCTGGACCGGGTGTCTAAAGACCCGGAGAGAGGAGGCCTTAGAAGGCCACAGTCGCGCCGGGGTTCGCGTTTTTTTTTTTTTTTTTTTTTTTTTATGCGAAAAGTTGTCAAACGCGCAGACGGTTCACCTGATGTTAAATGAATACCGCCGCCCATGGACATCTGCTACACTCGAGGGTTACAGATGCGTTGACAACCTTTTGAAAATTGGGCTCCGGCTACCTCACTCACCAAACGAAACGCGAAAGTATTTGTCATACTTCCACTTTACGCCGGTCTTCTGTGAGGTCGTGGTACTTACCCGGACGGGCCTGCCCATTCGTGCAACAGCCGAGGCTGCTGCGTGGCCCTACCACCGTAAAATCGCGTATGATGGCGTTTTCGTATTCCCGTGTTCCCGGATCCATAAAGCATTTTTCCCACGTAAAAAAAAAGGAGACGTGACGTCTGAGCGTGTTACTTAAAAGACAATTTCTAAAAAAATTACCTATCGTTTATTATTATTTCAATTTAAATCTCTTATTGGGTGTGGATTACATTAGAAAAATAACCGAAAATGTGTAGAGAACGACAGATGGTGTTTTCTTACCGAGCTTTATAAGTACCAAACGTGATAGAATTAAGCAATTTTATGTAAAAATTACGGTTTGTTAGTCTGTAACTTACGCGTTTGTAAACATTCAACTCTTTACCACGTTTATCATTAAATTAACACTAATTACAGCAATTCTTTATTATGTAGACTTATTTACGTTTACACATAAAAATTTTAGAAAACGAATATGCAAGAGAATTTTTTTACGTTAATATTGACGTCGACAAGAATGTATTGACGCCACGTTGGTAATTCTGTTTTAAAACAACAGTTGAAACTATTATACAGACTAACGCAACTTCCACCTGACATGACATCTCCGTTCGCTCTGGAAACAGTTCGCATTCCGTCAAGCATTTGCAATTACTTAGGAACTAGATGTAACTTCTACCTCGATGCATATAGTTTGAATTGGATAATAAAGTTATGAATCGTGGTCTAGTTTTGCTATTCGAATGATTCTTTATACGGTAGCTAGATAAATTATATATTTATAGGAGCCTTTAACCAACTGAATTGAACGTACCTAAGAGACCAATAACGAGATGAAAAATAGTAACAAAGCCTTCAAAAATAATCAGATGAATCAGAAATAATAATTCGTCGGTAAATTATTAAATTAACAAAATATCATACAGTTTATACTAATATTTACAAGATTAAATCTAGTAAAAAGAATAATTTATTTTATGAAGACAATGTTATTGATTCTACCGTCGGCGTTCAGCCGGGAGATACGCTAGGACCAGCATTATTTAGTTTGGGAATTCATCCAATTATTTCTTTACTTGTATATATTAGCAAAATATAATAAAGTTATTGGTGAATATATACAATCTCTATCGTATAGGAGCACCCTTATTATTGTAGTTTTATAAGTTTACTTTGATGACTCCGTCTCGCAGTTGCCAAATTGTGACGAAATCGCACTCGACAATCGTGCCCGAAAGAAATCCAATCGGAGCGGAAAAAAAAAAGAAAAAAAAATTTGTAGTGTCAGTTATATATTCCGAGCGTTCTCTTTTTATATGTCCGTACTATATCAAACTATACTTGTATCAGCGATATTGCGCGCACAGAGTTTTTATGTTCCATATTATTATTAGAAATTTGTAAAATTCTTAAAACGTAACGGTTACCTCTGAAATTATAAAAGTGCTACAAAGTGCTTGTGAAGGGCCTATAACTCATTCAAATAAATGTAGTTTTGTTAAAAATCTCAAAAATGTATCACAACAAAGGAAGATATGTTTTAAGAACAATTATAATTATAAGTACCTGGTGGACCTAGCTTTGCTCGGTTTTTTTGGTAAACCATATATTTGGGAAATAAAAAAAAAATAAAGAAAGCAATGATCTGGTATAGAAAAAAAGTAAAAAAATAAGTGTGTAAATGATCGTGACACGAACCGCGGCCTTCTGTTTCGGAGCCATCCGGTTACCGACCGATCTAATATAACATATTTTTTTCGGCGAAATTTACCGTCATATTCGAATGATATTTTTTATTCCCTGAAAACAGGAATAAAAGGACATTTTCTAAAAATGAAACCTAGCTAGATCGATTTTTCGCCCCCGAATCTACGCACATACTAAATTTCATGGAAATCGCTGGAACCGTTTCCGAGATTCCGATTATATATATACAAGAATTGCTCGTTTAAAGGATAAGATTACATAATTTTTTAGGAAAGTATAAAAGCTATATCAGAACTAATGTTACAGATCCACTAGAGTTATCGATTTATTCACAGCATTTTTACAAGGCTTCATAAAATAGGTATGGAAAATTGAATAATTTAGCGAAACACGCCATTCTATGTGCCTTATTAAAATTATAAAGGATCTTCCTAACTTTGCGGAACATTTTTAATATTCTGTTAATCAACGAGTTTCCTCATAACTTTCTTATTTAATCAAGGCTTATTTTTATTTTTCACTCCCTCAGCAAGATAGAGATTCCTGTCAGCAAATAAAAGAATATTTCATTCGTACGCGGTTTCTTAAACACTGATCGTCGTCGAAGTTAACTAATCAGCCGTCAAATGTTATCTAAGTTGCCAAAAGGATAGTTAAACTCTTTGGATTGATCATTTGAGTTTTTGACAGATGATTAGTTAACTTCTACGATGATCAGTGTTTCAGAAACCGGGCGTTAGAATCTATTTACCAGAGCTGTCTTTATCATAAGTAAGGAAAATTGATAGTTATGAGATATTAACAATCTACTTATGTGAAAAAGTATTACATTTCACCATCAACTGATGTTTCCCTGTAGATAACAACGGACGCGTGTAAACTGAAGCACTTTAAGAATTACTTCAACTGCATTTGAAGATCAAAGCATTCTTAGCCTTTAATCTTCCATAAGCTATATTTCTAGTACTGTGTTATGTAGTATTCGAAAATAGAAATATCGTTGGAATATTACGTCATACTGTATAATAATATGGCTCATTTCTAAACCGGATGGTATACGACGATGGTTAGGTTGATCCCGGCGGCTGAATTTCGCCATAGGACATCGCGCCAAAAACAAAAATTTCGTCCACACCACATCGATGTCCAGCGTTCCACAACAGCGCGATTTTCAAGGCATTTCTTGCCTCGCACAACCACTCCGCGGAACCAGCTGCCGCCGGCGGTCTTACCGAACTGTTACGACCTGGGAACCTTCAAAAAGAGAGCATACCCCTTCCTAAAAGGCCGGCAACGCATTTGTAAGCCCTCTGGTGTTGCAGGTGTCCATAGGTGGCGGTGATCAGTTACCATCTTTTTGCCGCTTTTTTCCCATAAAAAATGTATATTAAGGGTGTTCTTTTTCTTGGAAGAACCGTTTTAAAACGTTCTAATATATCTTTATCACAATTATAAATCTGATCTTGGTGCCAAGGCAACAAGATCAGTTAACCAAGTCCCTCCGTGTGTAAACGTCCGAGTAACTCAAATCATTTAATCCTTGAAAATATTCTACATTTGATCGATTTTACTCCAATTTTAGAGTACTAATAGTCATCACATTTGCAACAATATCTTGTAAGTCAGGAGTACTTCAAACCCAAACCTTTAAAATAAATTCAGCCAATTCATTCTAGACCGTTTATCCTCGTTCCAGGCTGTTCCAAGAGAACGAGGAGTTGCTGCATCTGTTCGAGGACTTCCGTCACTTGCGCACCATCGAGGCGCAAGTGAGCTCTGCTGAGCTGGCGGAACACGCCACTAAGGTCATGCACACTCTGGACGAGGGCATCAAGGGCCTCAACGACATGGACGCGTTCTTCGCGTACGTACGCCACGTGGGTGGCACCCACACCCAGGTGCCTGGATTCGTCGCTGAAAACTTCATGGTGAGCATTTATGGAACGTCCTATACATTGTAAGGCTGAACAAGACCTGTGTACAGAGGGTTCCGGTGTATCATTTATTTGGCTTTGGGTTTGTTCGGCCGCAAGGTGCAACGGAATATGAAAAAGTATGGAACATAGAGGTCGACAGCCAAAAACTGAAGTAAACAATTTTTGGGTGATGACTAAGTTTTTGGATTCGAGTTATTTTGTTAAATTTTCATTAAGAGTCTGGCATCCGGACACTGAACTACCACGTTCCGAGTGAAATAACGACAATGTAGTATCAAAGTAGAATATTTGACCCGTGCTAATATTATAACGTACAATCGTAAAACAACCGTAAACCGGCCTCACAGAAGACCGGCGTGAAGTGGAAGTATTTTACTTTCGCGTTTCTTCCGGTGAGTGAGGTAACCTGGCCTCACTTATTTTATGGTTAACAATGCTTCTTTCTTTTTTTGCATAATTAATTTTAATAAGTTAAATTATAATTGGTATTAGTATTACCTCGCCGTGTATGGGTCAGTAAGGCATAGAAGTATTATGAAACTAGAAGGGAAGACAGCATAATGCTGAGCTGCTAACCTAATTTATGTTAAAGTTCTTCTTCATTTGTTTTATATGTTAATTATGTATTTGTGTTCGCTTGCTTTACTGAATTATTTATAAGTATTTTTTTTATTTCTTTTATTTTTTGTTAATTTTAGTTTTTTTTCTCTTTCATTGTGTGCGTTTTTTTTTTTGGTAAATAAATGTATTTTCTTTCTTTCTTTCTTCTCCAACATGATGGGAGTTGTAGATGTCCATGGGCGGCGACCACTTAACATCAGGTGAATCGCCTGTTCACTTGTCAACTTTTCACAAAAAAAATCATTTCATTTTGAAGAACGTTAGTAAATAGTATCAGTCTATTCAGACCAGTTTGTAAAAAAAAGTCTTTAATGTTATATTAAATTACTTCACTACTTTTAATGTAAGCAAATTGTCAATAGATGACATTCTCATTCATTAAAAAAATACAGTCGAATTGAGACCTGTTTTTTTCAAATCGGTTAAAAAGTTTTAAAGCGAAGGTTTTAGTGAAAAAGTTAATAATTACTCTATTTGTCTATATATAAGAGAGAACATTAGGTTTAAAATGAAGTTTGATCGTTCATTTTAAATAATAAATAATGGAGATACGACGTTTTAATAAAAAACACCGTCTGTTGCAGAAAATCGAGCAACCATTCTTGGAAGCGGCTAGAACGACACTCGGCGATAGATACACCCCCAACATCGAGAATATATACAAGATAACGATAAAATTCATTTTGGAGAATTTGGTCCGAGGGTACGAGGAAGCGAAGGCGGAAAAGGAAAATGGGAAGGGTCAATAATGATGACACTTATACTAGTCTCTGAAAATCAAGGAATGTTTAAATCCATAAATGACATTCTTACAATAATTCTTCCTCTTTAAATGAATTGAGTCCTTAATCAATGGTTTTTACGAAATTTTAGCTTCCTTATCGATTATATATTTCAAGATTTCGTTGCTAACGGCCGGTTTCAATATTCTATCTACAGATAGATATATTTGGTTAATGGCGACAGTATTTTGACGTAAGTATTGTTTAGCTACCTGCTGCTGTGTCAAATACTTATCGCTAGTAACCAAATCTATCTGTGGATAGAATATAGGACCGGCTTAAGAAAGCAGATTTGATGCTACATCAACGTTATGGTGGTCATAGAACATAAACGTAACGCTAAATTGTTGTAAAATACTATAGTAATTTTTAAGATTAGTGATAAAAATATTGAATACCTCACCTCAGTTTAGTCCGATAATAGTTTAGAGATGCTATTTTTATACATGTTTCGTTAAAAAAATGGTTGGATTTCACTGCAATCACTTTCATCATCATCATTTAAACCTATTCGCGGATACAGCACGAAGCACGTTCCTGAGCCACGTACGTCCATCGAGTTCCAGAAAATTTGCGCAGGCCGTCATTACATCTAGTGGGGTGACATCATGTCATCCGACTCCACTATGGCCATTACGAGGCAGCCACTCGAAAACCTTCTTCCTCATCGATTATCGGTTCTTCGAGCTATATGGCTGGCTCATTGCCACTTCGGCTTACTAATCCTCTCAGCTATGTCGGTTACCTTTGTTCTACTGCAGATGTCTTCGTTGCGAACGCCGTAGTAAAACATTTCGGGACGTCATTCTTAGTAAGCATTTGCGGCGAGTTGTCAAGTAAATAAAACTCTAAGAACAATTCCTTTCCAATAAATCCCAGCAGAGGATTAACTTATTTAAACATTTGATTTCCTCTCCGAATCCGACCAACCGTATTGGAGAGGGATTAATCGCAATCGAATTTTCTGGGATTCCAGTCCATTCGTACAGATTTTCAAGAAAATACAAACTCGAAGATAAAACTTTTTTTAATTGTATGGTTGACGCCTTAAAGTGTACATAAAATCATTTTGAATTATGTTTTACTATTTCTAAGTAAAGAATTTATTTACGGTAAAAATATTGACATGGTATGGATTAAATTAATCTATATGTGAATACACGAAATTTATAACTGCAATAGCCAATATTGTCAAAACTATATAAAAAATTATATATCAGATCAGATAAATAACTGAAAATAAAAATAAAACCCGATGGGGTGTTAATTAAGATAATAACTTATTTAATGTACTTATTTTTACAATACAATTTACTATTCATACACATATTATTAATTTGTTGTACTCTGGATGAAATTATTTCTACGGTTCGTGTCTTTTAGACATTAATGTTTTTTTTTATTGTGAATTACTTATTACTTTATGGACAGAGATAAAACATTAAAAAATATTACGTAAGATATATATCGATATTTATTGTAGCACGTGTTATATGAAATTTGTGTTTGTAATTGGATTTGTTTTATAAAACTGTTTAAAATAAAATTGTGAAGCAAGTGTTAGTAGTGTATTAATAGTCATTTTAGATTTCCCGCTAATTTCTTCATGTGTTCAGTACAAATGACTACAAATTTTAACAATCCAGTTTTTGACGAGTTTGTAATAATCAATTACGATAAAGCCTTCAGTCATAATATCGGAGTCTACCCTTTCGACGTTTACCCATTTATCTGAAATATTGAAAGATCGACCCCTCTGACAGATCGAGTATCCAAATGTATATGTAATAGGGATTTGACGGAAAGATTTTTTTCTTTAGTCTACATCTCGTGATCAAAGGTGTTTTAATTAAATTTGGGAAAAATAAATTTCTAGATTCTTTTTTTTTAAGTTGAGTGAATTTTACAGTTGAAATTGACCTAGAACTAGATGACACCAAGCATAGCTAAAAATTTTTAGTACAGTGTGAGATTTTTAGAACAATGTGACAGTTTCGAAATGCCGTTGAAACGACAACCCTGTCCTAAAGACTAACCACAGAAATAATTGCCTCATTTAAATAGTGTGTTTGCTTAAATTAATTCCGTACTGGAGAGACAAGAAAATTAATTTAAGCCCAGCAGAGCTAATCTGCTTTAAGTCTGCGAAGAGAATTTTCTTCACGAACTTGCTTTTGCTGTTATTTATATATATATTTTTCGATTTTTTCGACGATTTTCTAAATCAGCCGATAAATTTCAATCTGGAAGTCTTTAAACAGACTTCGGAATTAGGTTGGACAAAGCAAGGAAAATATGTTCAGGTGGGGACTCTTAGAAAACCATGGCTCATCTGTCCGCCCTTTAACCTGTTCGCAGCAGGATTTGATGGATGCCTCAAACTGTGCCATCGAAGTGGCTAAGTTCTGGGCTGGAAAGATATGATTTGTCATCGACACGTAAAGAAGAAAAAGAAGTTGATTAACAAAACAAATGTGAATATGGTTGGACTTATTGTAATTTTACTTAAGAAAGTAAGTGTTTAACGTCCGATGAAACTGTTATATATTCATGTCTTTTACCTACTTTCGTTTAATATAACCTATTTTTTTTATCTATTACAATAAGAATATATATTACACTAATAATTTTATAATACTCATTACGGTGAAAAAAAAATAATAAATACCTCCTTATTTATTATTTTTATATCAAAATAAATAATGATTAATAAACTACGAAACATTGTTAATGAAAAGAAAAAACAAGCTCCTTGATCTATATACTTGAGTCTCATATTAACTGTTTATTGACTTCGCAAGTCTCTCGAAGAAATATTGTGATGGCCAAATTCGATTATATAATACATAATGATATGATGTCCAAAGGACAATGGCAGGTTCCCATACATGACTTTAGTTGGGATAAAATTTTAGCGTTTAGAGGTCAAAAATATCTGAAAATGTTCATTACTCTCCCTTAAGCAACTTTATATTAAGAATTTTAACTGGAGAAAGTCTAAAAATAAAGATATTACATTTTCAATATTTTTATTTTGAGGTTATACTGTGCGATACACAGGATTCGTGTCGCTATTTTAACAATAGTAAACAAACTAACAACTAATCGAAATATTAAAGCACATCCAATAGTCCAACGTTACAGCTTAAGGTCGCCGGGCAAGCAATCAATCGAAGTCCTTGGGCATGCACAAATGGCAATACGTAGCGAAGCAAAATCTGACTCCGATATGCAGTATGGATTGTATAAAAATAGGAAAATCACATTTATCTTATTCTTATTTCTTATTCTTATTACACAAGGCAATGCAGTGAATATTGAATTGGTGCAGCAGATTGGTGCAAATTAACATGTCAATGTCAAAAGCAGGATTGGATTTAGGTATGATGAAAAAGATAGTACAAAAAATTTAAAAGGATATTATTTGTTAAAGAAATTATAGTACACTTTATTATTTTGTTTTTACAGGAATCAATTTACTCATCCCCCAAGTTTATCAATTCTTCAACATTAGTTTCAACCTTGGAATTTAATTTTTTTAACATATCCTGAGTAGGAATAAATTCAGTACAAATTCCACTTTTTTACCATCTTTGATAGCCTCACAACACAATTAAATGGCGTCTTTGGATTATATATATTTTTATCCTAGTTTAGTAACATAGTCTTACTATTAGACATCTATGAACTCTATTACCTACCTCATAGTGCAATATGCACACAATAATGCAAAGATACTCTTCAACAAGCAAAGTATATAAAAAAAAATTTTACGGGAATTCCCCGTAAACATTTCATTGATAAATAAATAATTCGTGGTAATCATTGACAATGACATACGGTAATATCCACTTTATATTCTTGAAAACATTACAACGCTATTAAAACCCAATAAACCTCTTTTAATGTTGGCTTGGCGTTTATATTGATCTTTTATGTAAAGTAACAAAATTATAGCATATTTCCCTAAATATGGATAGTATATAGTACGAAGCATTAAATTATAGTATAAATACTATAATTACAGTAAAATCCAACCCTGGTCATAACTCGTAAACTTATGAAACCAAAATGGAGCTCAAAAAAGTCAATTGAGTTGTTAATAAACACATATTTTTATACATAGTTTAACAACTGAAGTTAATGTGCCGAAAAATCGTGGAAAATAATTATATTTAGAAACCTAAATATCAATTTATTAAACGCTTAATTTTTTCCTACATAAGATTTTGCCATTGTCCTTTATGGCATGAATAATTGAGTTTTCCGTTTTTTTTACTACCTACAAAAACTTTACATTTCAATAATCAGCTTGAAACATATAGCCCTGGGTACAATTTTAATGAACGTCTAAACTCTAAAGTATAACAACAAACATTATTTGTTATTTTTTAAAAATACTAACGAAGTATGTTATGTAAGTAATTGAAATATTAAATTTTTTAACATAAGTTTGACTAGCACTTGGATAGTTCATGTACATTTACCACCCATAAGTCTGTTCTAATTGGTAACTGTAGAAACTGAATAGACCAATAAGAACAAAAGGCTGCCATGTCCTGTAAAGACCCACACACTATGTAAACTACACATGGGCTAATATATCGCAGGGCACGTGGATTTTAGGAAGACATAATTGTGTCCAACTTAGGTTAGGCTAGGAACTTAGGTTTTGTTTTTATGTGAGAAGGTAGAATGCGAGGTGGCGGTTCACCTGATGTTAAATTATAACCGCCACCCATGGACATTTGCAACACCCGTATGGTTGTAGATGCGTTTGCCAACTTTAAATAAGGTAGGCCCCGGCAGCTCATCCACCAGACGAAATGCGGAAGTATACCACTTCTAATTCACGCCGGTCTTCTGTAAGATCGTGGTCCTTGCATGGATAGACTTACCCATTCGTGCAACTCCTCATTTTTTGAAGTCGGGTGAAAAGGTACCACCAACCAACTGCGTTTCGA